TGGAGTGTTACCCTATGTCTGGAGTGTTGCCTATGTCTGGAGTGTTGGCTATGTCTGGGCGTTGCCTATGTCTGGAGTGTTGCCTATGTCTGGAGGTGTTGCCTATGTCTGGAGTGTTGCCTATGTCTGGAGTGTTGCCTATGTCTGGAGTGTTGCCTATATCTGGAGTGTTGCCTATGTCTGGAGTGTTGCCTATGTCTGGAGTGTTGCCTATGTCTGGAGTGTTGCCTATGTCTGGAGTGTTGCCTATGTCTGGAGTGTTACCTATGTCTGGAGTGTTGCCTATGTCTGGAGTGTTACCCTATGTCTGGAGTGTTGCCTATGTCTGGAGTGTTGCCTATGTCTGGAGTGTTGCCTATGTCTGGAGTGTTGCCTATGTCTGGAGCGTTGCCTATGTCTGGAGTGTTGCCTATGTCTGGAGTGTTGGCTATGTCTGGATGTCTATGGAGTGTTGCCTATGTCTGGAGTGTTGCCTATGTCTGGAGTGTTATATGTCCTATGTCTGGAGCGTTGCCTATGTCTGGAGCGTTGCCTATGTCTGGAGCGTTGCCTATGTCTGGAGTGTTGCCTATGTCTGGAGTGTTGCCTATGTCTGGAGTGTTGCCTATGTCTGGAGTGTTGCCTATGTCTGGAGTGTTGCCTATGTCTGGAGAGTTGGCTATGTCTGGAGTGTTGCCTATGTCTGGAGTGTTGCCTATGTCTGGAGTGTTGGCTATGTCTGGAGTGTTGCCTATGTCTGGAGTGTTGCCTATGTCTGGAGTGTTGCCTATGTCTGGAGTGTTGCCTATGTCTGGAGTGTTGCCTATGTCTGGAGTGTTGCCTATGTCTGGAGTGTTACCTATGTCTGGAGTGTTGCCCTATGTCTGGAGTGTTGCCTATGTCTGGAGTGTTGCCTATGTCTGAGTGTTGCCTATGTCTGGAGTGTTGGCCTATGTCTGGAGTGTTACCTATGTCTGGAGTGTTGCCTATGTCTGGAGTGTTCCCTATGTCTGGAGTGTTGCCTATGTCTGGAGTGTTGCCTATGTCTGGAGTGTTGCCTATGTCTGGAGTGTTGCCTATGTCTGGAGTGTTGCCTATGTCTGGAGTGTTGCCTATGAGAGGTTGCCTATGTCTGGAGTGTTGCCTATGTCTGGAGTGTTACCTATGTCTGGAGTGTTGCCTATGTCTGGAGTGTTGGCTATGTCTGGAGTGTTGCCTATGTCTGGAGTGTTGCCTATGTCTGGAGTGTTGCCTATGTCTGGAGTGTTACCTATGTCTGGAGTGTTGCCTATGTCTGGAGTGTTGCCTATGTCTGGAGTGTTGGCCTATGTCTGGAGTGTTGCCTATGTCTGGAGTGTTGCTATGTCTGGAGTGTTGCCTATGTCTGGAGTGTTGCCTATGTCTGGAGTGTTGCCTATGTCTGGAGTGTTGCCTATGTCTGGAGTGTTGCCTATGTCTGGGTGTTGCCTATGTCTCTGGAGTTGCCTATGTCTGGAGTGTTGCCTATGTCTGGAGTGTTGCCTATGTCTGGAGTGTTGCCTATGTCTGGAGTGTTGCCTATGTCTGGAGTGTTGCCTATGTCTGGAGTGTTGCCTATGTCTGGAGTGTTGCCTATGTCTGGAGCGTTGGCTATGTCTGGAGTGTTACCTATGTCTGGAGTGTTGGTTATGTCTGGAGTGTTGCCTATGTCTGGAGTGTTACCTATGTCTGGAGTGTTGCCTATGTCTGGAGTGTTGCCTATGTCTGGAGTGTTGCCTATGTCTGGAGTGTTGCCTATGTCTGGAGTGTTACCTATGTCTGGAGTGTTGCCTATGTCTGGAGTGTTGCCTATGTCTGGAGTGTTGCCTATGTCTGGAGTGTTGCCTATGTCTGGAGTGTTGCCTATGTCTGGAGTGTTGCCTATGTGTCTGGAGTGTTGCCTATGTCTGGAGTGTTACCTATATGTCTGGAGTGTTGCCTATGTCTGAGTTGCCTATGTCTGAGTGTTACCTATGTCTGGAGTGTTGCCTATGTCTGGAGTGTTGCCTATGTCAGTGGAGTGTTGCCTATGTCTGGAGTGTTGCCTATGTCTGGAGTGTTGCCTATGTCTGGAGTGTTGCCTATGTCTGGAGGTGTTGCCTATGTCTGGAGTGTTGCCTATGTCTGGAGTGTTACCTATGTCTGAGAGTGTTACCTATGTCTGGAGTGTTACCTATGTCTGGAGTGTTACCTATGTCTGGAGTGTTACCTATGTCTGGAGTGTTGCCTATGTCTGGAGTGTTACCTATGTCTGGAGTGTTGCCTATGTCTGGAGTGTTGCCTATGTCTGGAGTGTTGGCTATGTCTGGAGTGTTGCCTATGTCTGGAGTGTTGCCTATGTCTGGAGTGTTGCCTATGTCTGGAGTGTTGCCTATGTCTGGAGTGTTACCTATGTCTGGAGTGTTGCCTATGTCTGGAGTGTTGCCTATGTCTGGAGGTGTTGCCTATGGAGTGTTGCCTATGTCTGGAGTGTTACCTATGTCTGGAGTGTTACCTATGTCTGGAGTGTTGCCTATGTCTGGAGTGTTACCTATGTCTGGAGTGTTGCCTATGTCTGGAGTGTTGCCTATGTCTGGAGTGTTGCCTATGTCTGGAGTGTTACCTATGTCTGGAGTGTTACCTATGTCTGGAGTGTTGCCTATGTCTGGAGTGTGGAGTGTTGCCTATGTCTATGTCTGGAGTGTTGCCTATGTCTGGAGTGTTGCCTAGTGTCCTGGAGCCGTTATGTCTGAGTGTTGCCTATGTCTGGAGTGTTGCCTATGTCTGGTTGCCTATGTTGGAGCCTATGTCTGGAGTGTTGGCCTATGTCTGGAGTGTTGCCTATGTCTGGAGTGTTGCCTATGTCTGAGTGTTGCCTATGTCTGGAGGACCTGTTGCCTATGTCTGGAGTGTTGCTATGTCTGGAGTGTTGCCTATGTCTGGAGTGTTACCTATGTCTGGAGTGTTGCCTATGTCTGGAGTGTTGCCCTATGTCTGGAGTGTTGCCTATGTCTGAGTGTTGCCTATGTCTGTTGGTTATGTCTATGTTGCCTATGTCTGGATGTTGCCTATGTCTGAGTGTTACCTATGTCTGGAGTGTTACCTATGTCTGGAGTGTTGCCTATGTCTGGAGTGTTGCCCTATGTCTCTGAGTGTTACCTATGTCTGGAGTGTTACCTATGTCTGGAGTGTTACCTATGTCTGAGTGTTACCTATGTCTGGAGTGTTGCCTATGTCTGGAGTGTTACCTATGTCTGGAGTGTTACCTATGTCTGAGTGTTGCCTATGTCTGGAGTGTTGCCTATGTCTGGAGTGTTACCTATGTCTGGAGTGTTGCCTATGTCTGGAGTGTTACCCTATGTCTGGAGTGTTACCTATGTCTGGAGTGTTGCCTATGTCTGGAGTGTTACCTATGTCTGGGCGTTACCTATGTCTGAGTGTTACCTATGTCTGGAGTGTTACCTATGTCTGGAGTGTTGCCTATGTCTGGAGTGTTGCCTATGTCTGGAGTGTTGCCTATGTCTGGAGTGTTGCCTATGTCTGGAGTGTTGCCTATGTCTGGAGTGTTACCTATGTCTGAGTGTTGCCTATGTCTGGAGTGTTCCCTATGTCTGGAGTGTTGCCTATGTCTTGAGTGTTACCTATGTCTATGTGTTGCCTATGTCTGGAGTGTTACCTATGTCTGGAGTGTTACCTATGTCTGGAGTGTTGCCTATGTCTGGAGTGTTGCCTATGTCTGAGTGTTGCCTATGTCTGGAGGTGTTGCCTATGTCTGGAGTGTTGCCTATGTCTGGAGTGTTGCCTATGTCTGGAGTGTTCCCTATGTCTGGAGTGTTGCCTATGTCTGGAGTGTTGCCTATGTCTGGAGTGTTGCCTATGTCTGAGTGTTACCTATGTCTGAGTGTTGCCTATGTCTGGAGCTGTTGGCTATGTCTGGAGTGTTACCTATGTCTGGAGTGTTGCCCTATGTCTGGAGTGTTGCCTATGTCTGGAGTGTTGCCTATGTCTGGAGTGTTGGCTATGTCTGTTCCGAGTTGCCTATGTCTGGAGTGTTGCCTATGTCTGGAGTGTTGCCTATGTCTGGAGTGTTGCCTATGTCTGGAGTGTTACCCTATGTCTGGAGTGTTGTTGCCTATGTCTGGAGGTTGCCTATGTCTGGAGTGTTACCTATGTCTGGAGTGTTGCCTATGTCTGGAGTGTTGCCTATGTCTGGAGTGTTGCCTATGTCTGGAGTGTTGCCTATGTCTGGAGTGTTGGCTATGTCTGGAGTGTTGCCTATGTCTGGAGTGTTGACTATGTCTATGTCTGGATGTCTGAGTGTTGCCTATGTCTGGAGTGTTACCTATGTCTGGAGTGTTGCCTATGTCTGGAGTGTTGCCTATGTCTGGAGTGTTGCCTATGTCTGGAGGGTTGCCTATGTCTGGAGTGTTCCCTATGTCTGGAGGGTTGCCACCTATGTCTGAGCCGTTGGCTATGTCTGGAGTGTTGCCTATGTCTGGAGGGTTGCCTATATCTGGAGTGTTGCCTATGTCTGGAGCGTTGGCTATGTCTGAAGCGTTGCCTATTTCTGGAGTGTTGGCTATATCTGGAGTGTTGCCTATGTCTGGAGCGTTGGATATGTCTGGAGTGTTCCCTATGTCTGGAGTGTTGCCTATATCTGGAGTGTTGCCTATGTCTGGAGCGTTGGATATGTCTGGAGTGTTGCCTATTTCTGGAGTGTTGGCTATATCTGGAGTGTTGCCTATGTCTGGAGTGTTGGCTATGTCTGAAGCGTTGCCTATGTATGGAGGGTTGCCTATGTCTGGAGCATTGGTTATGTCTGGAGTGTTGGCTATGTCTGGAGCGTTGGTTATGTCTGGAGCGTTGCCTATGTATGGAGGGTTGCCTATGTATGGAGGGTTGCCTATGTCTGGAGCATTGGTTATGTCTGGAGTGTTGGCTATGTCTGGAGCGTTGGTTATGTCTGGAGCGTTGCCTATTTCTGGAGCGTTGGTTACATCTGGAGAGTTGGTTACATCTGGAGAGTTGGTTATGTCTTAAGCATTGGGTATGTCTGGAGCATATATGATCACAGTCCAGCAGGCGTGTCAGATCTTCCGTCATCATCCTCTTCTTTGCTATCATGAACTAGCAGATCTGAAACAACAAAACCATTCAGTGTCACAAAACAACACTAAACCCTGAAAAAACACTAAAGTTTAAAACAACATATGCATTAGCATCCCTCCCTACAGTGTCCATAAAGTGTTAACATCCCTCCCCACAGTTTCCATAAAGTGTTAACATCCCTCCCCACAGTGTCCATAAAGTGTTGACATCCCTCCCCACAGTGTCCATAAAGTGTTAACATCCCTCCCTACAGTGTCCATAAAGTGTTAACATCCCTCCCCACAGTGTCCATAAAGTGTTGACATCCCTCCCCACAGTGTCCATCAAGTGTTGACAAAGTGTTAACATCCCTCCCCACAGTGTCCATCAAGTGTTGACATAAAGCCCATAAAGTGTTAACATCCCTCCCTACAGTGTCCATAAAAGTGTTGACATCCCTCCCCACACAGTGACATCCCTCCCCATAAAGTGTTGACATCCCTCCCCACAGTGTCCATCAAGTGTTGACATCCCTCCCCATCAAGTGTTGACATCCCTCCCACAGTGTCCATCAAAAGTGTTAACATTGACCTCCCCACAGTGTCCATAAAGTGTTAACATTCCTCCCCACAGTGTCCATAAAGTGTTGCCATCCCTCCCCACAGTGTCCATAAAGTGTTGACATCCCTCCCACAGTGTCCATAAAGTGTTGACATCCCTCCCCACAGTGTCCATCAAGTGTTGACATCCCTCCCCACAGTGTCCATAAAGTGTTGACATCCCTCCCCACAGTGTCCATCAGTGTCCAAGTGTTGACATCCCTCCCCACAGTGTCCATAAAGTGTTGACATCCAGTGTCCATAAAGTGTTGACATCCCCACAGTGTCCATCAAGTGTTGACATCCCTCCAAACAGTGTCCATCAAGTGTTGACATCCCTACAGTGTCCCTACAGTGTCCATACAGTGTCCATCAAGTGTTGACATCCGTCCCCACAGTGTCCACTCAAGTGTTGACATCCCTCCCCACAGTGTCCATCACAGTGTTGTTGACATCCCTCCCCACAGTGTCCATCAAGTGTTGACATCCCTCCCCACAGTGTCCATCAAGTGTTGACATAAATCCCCACAGTGTCCATCAAGTGTTGACATCCCTCCCCACAGTGTCCATCAAGTGTTGACATCCCTCCCTACAGTGTCCATCAAGTGTTGACATCCCTCCCTACAGTGTCCATAAAGTGCTGACATCCCTCCCCACAGTGTCCATCAAGTGTTGACATCCTTCCCCACAGTGTCCATCAAGTGTTGACATCCCTCCCTATAGTGTCCATCAAGTGTTGACATTCCTCCCTACAGTGTCCATGAAGTGTTGAGATCCCTCCCCACAGTGTCCATCAAGTGTTGACATCCCTCTCCACAGTGTCCATCAAGTGTTGACATTCCTCCCCAGAGTGTCCATAAAGTGGAACATCTCACCTTTCGCTATTTTCCTCAGGATGTTTGATGAACATATCCTCTTGTAATCCTCTTCTTCTACCAAGAACTGAGAAATATTCTTCATGAAGTCAGAGTATTTACAGAAACTCCCATCACAACCTCGTATATTTAGTACCTGAAACATTCAATGAAACAGTACGAATCTTCCACAACACATTGTGTATATCAGACACTTCACCATAACAGTGTCTATATCAGACACTTAACCATAACAGTGTCTATATCAGACACCTCACTATAACAGTGCCTATATCACACACCTCACTATAACATTGTCTATATCACACACCTCACTAAAACAGTGCCTATATAACACACAGCACTATAACAGTGTCTATATCACACACTTCACTATAACAGTGTCTATATTACATCCCTCACTATAACAGTGTCCTTATCACACACCTCTCTATAACAGTGTCTATATCACACCCCTCACTGTATCAGTGTCTATATCACACACCTCACAATAACAGTGCCTATATCACACACCTCACTATAACAGTGTCTATATCACACATCACACTATAACAGTGTCTATATCACACATCACACTATAACAATGTCTATATCACTCACCTCACTATAACAGTGCCTATATCGGACACTACAGCATAACAGTGTCTATATCACACATCTCACTACAACAGTGTCCTTATCACACATCTCAAAATAACAGTGTCTGTATCAGACACCTCCCTATAATAGTGTCTATATCACATACCTCACTAAAACAGTGTCTATATCACACACCTCACTATAACAGTGTCTATATTACACACCTCACTATAACAGAGTCTATATCACACATCACACTACAACAGTGTCTATATCACACATCACACTATAACAATGTTTATATCACACCCCTCACTATAACAATGTCTATGTCACACACCTCAGTATAACAGTGTCTATATCACACACCTCACTATAACAGTGCCTATATCAGACACTTCACCATAACAGTGTCTATATCACACATCTCACTATAACAGTGTCCATATCACACACCTCTCTATAACAGTGTCTATAACACACCCCTCACTGTTAGTGTCTATATCACACACCTCACAATAACAGTGCCTATATCAGACACTTCATCATAACAGTGTCTATATAACACACATCACTATAACAGTGTCCATATCACACTTTTATTTTGTTAAGAAGAGGGGGTGACAATTTTGGGGTAGATTTTGTCCAGATGGATTTTGTCCGGTCACCAACCACTACACCACGGAGGCGGTCACACCTCACTATAACAGTGCCTATGTCACACACCTCACTATAACAGTGTGTATATCACACACCTCACTATAACAGTGTCTGTATCACACACCTCACTAAAACAGTGTCTATATCACACACCTCACTATAACAATGTCTATATCACACACCTCACTATAACAGTGTCTATATCACACATCACACTATAACAATGTCTATATCACACCCCTCACTATAACAGTGTCTATGTCACACACCTCAATATAACAGTGTCTATATCACACACCTCACTATAACAGTGCCTATATCAGACACTACAGCATAACAGTGTCTATATCACACATCTCACTACAACAGTGTCCTTATCACACACCTCTCTATAACAGTGTCTATATCACACCCCTCACTGTATCAGTGTCTATATCACACACCTCACAATAACAGTGCCTATATCACACACATCACTATAGGAGTGTCTATATCACACACCTCACTATAACAGTGTCTATATCACACCCCTCACTATAACAGTGTCCATATCACACTATTTTTTGTTAAGAAGAGGGGGATTTTCTCCGGGGTAACAATTTTGGGGTAGATTTTGTCCAGATGGATTTTGTCCGGTCACCAACCACTACACCACGGAGGCGGTCACACCTCACTATAACAGTGCCTATGTCACACACTTCACTATACCAGTGTCTTTATCACACACCTCACTATAACAGTGCCTATGTCACACACCTCACTATACCAGTGTCTTTATCACACACCTCACTATAACAGTGTGTATATCACACACCTCTACCCCAAAATTGTCAGCCCGGAGAAAATCCTCCTCTTCTTAACAGTGTCTATATCACACACCTCACTATAACAGTGTCTATATCACACATCACATTATAACAGTGTCTATATAACACCTCACTATAACAGTGTCTATATCGCATATCACACTATAACAGTGTCTATATCACACATCACACTATAACAGTGTCAATATCAAACACCTCACTATAACAGTGTCTATCTCACTCACCTCACTATAACAGTGTCTATATCACGCACCTCACGATCACTATAACAGTGTCTATATCATACTTCTCACTATAACAGTGTCTATATCACACACCTCACTATAGGAGTGTCTATATCACACATCTCACTATAACAGTGTCTATATCACACACCTCACTACAGGAGTGTCTATATCACACACTTCACTATAACAGTGTCTATATCAGGGAACCTCATCTTCCCACAGTATCGAGCACGCATCCAGTGTGCTCCCTGCTGGTCAATGTACAGTGTGTGTATGTTATAATGTTACACTCACCTTCCCACAGTATCGAGCACGCAACCAGTGTGCTCCCTGCTGGTCAATGTACAGTGTGTGTATGTTATAATGTTACACTCATCTTCCCACAGTATCGAGCACGCATCCAGTGTGCTCCCTGCTGGTCAATGTACAGTGTGTGTATGTTATAATGTTACACTCACCTTCCCACAGTATCGAGCACGCAACCAGTGTGCTCCCTGCTGGTTAATGTACAGTGTGTGTATGTTATATTGTTACACTCACCTTCCCACAGTATCGAGCTCGCACCCAGTGTGCTCCCTGCTTGTCGACATACAGCTCCAAGCGTATGTCTGCTGCAAAGGGTGGCCATCTTCCATCATAGTTTCCCAGGATGACCGTAAGTGGAAGGATCAGTGAGTCGTGGACAGAGTAGAGACAAATGCGCTGCTGGCTGACAAAACAATCACCAGTTAGACAGTCGTGTACAGTGATTTCTGATATGTGTGTTTGTGAGATATGAATGTGTGATGAGTGCCAGGGTTATTATACGTTTGATGTTTGTGTGATATCTGCCAGCATTATTATATGTGATGTGTGTGTGATGTGTGTCAGCATTATTATACATTTGATGTTTGTGTGATGTGTGCCAGCATTATTATACATTTGATGTGTGTGTGATGTGTGCCAACATTATTATGTGATGTGTGTGTGATGTGTGTCAGCATTATTATACATTTGATGTGTGTGTGATGTGTGTCAGCATTATTATACATTTGATGTGTGTGTGATGTGTGCCAGCATTATTATGTGTGATGTGTGTCAGCATTATTATGTGTTGTAATGTGTGTATCATGTGTGTTGTATGTGTGACATCTGTCTGACGTGTGTGTTGTATGTGTGACATCTGTCCGTCGTGTGTGGTGTATGTGTGACATCTGTCTGACATGTGTGGTGTATGTGTGACATCTGTCTGACGTGTGTGGTGTATGTGTGACATCTGTCTGACGTGTGTGGTGTATGTGTGACATCTGTCTGACGTGTTTGGTGTATGTGTGACATCTGTCTGACGTGTGTGTTGTATGTGTGACATCTGTCCGTCGTGTGTGGTGTATGTGTGACATCTGTCTGACGTGTGTGTTGTATGTGTGACATCTGTCTGACATGTGTGTTGTATGTGTGACATCTGTCTGACGTGTGTGGTGTATGTGTGACATCTGTCCGTCGTGTGTGGTGTATGTGTGACATCTGTCTGACATGTGTGGTGTATGTGTGATGTGTGTATCATGTATGTTGTGTGTGTGACATTTCTGTGGTGTGTGTTGTATGTGTGACATCTGTCTGACGTGTGTGGTGTATGTGTAATGTGCGTATCATGTATGTTGTGTGTGTGACATTTGTGTGGTGTGTGTTGTATGTGTGCCATGTGTGGTGTATGTGTGACATCTGTCTGACGTGTGTGGTGTATGTGTGACATCTGTGTGATCTGTGTGGTGTATGTGTGACATCTGTCTGACATGTGTGGTGTATGTGTGACATCTGTGTGATGTGTGTGGTGTATATGTGACATCTGTCTGACATGTGTGTGGTGTATGTGTGACATCTGTGTGATGTGTGTGGTGTATGTGTTACATCTGTCTGACGTGTGTGGTGTATGTGTGACATCTGTCTGACGGTGTGTTGTAATCGGTGTGACATCTGTCTGACGTGCGGTGTGTTGTATGTGCACATCTATCTGACGTGTGACGGTGTATAATGCGACATCTGTGTGATGTGTGGTGGGTGTGTGACATCTGTGTGATGTGTGTGGTGTATGTGTGACATCTGTCAGACATGTGTGTTGTATGTGTGACATCTGACATGTGTGGTGTATGTGTGACATCTGTCTGACGTGTGTGTTGTATGTGTGACATCTGTGTGATGTGTTTGGTGTATGTGTGACATCTGTCTGACGTGTGTGGTGTATGTGTGACATCTGTGTGAAGTGTGTGGTGTATGTGTGACATCTGTCTGACATGTGTGGTGTATGTGTGACATCTGTCTGACGTGTGTGTTGTAGGTGTGACATCTGTCTGATGTGTGTGTTGTATGTGTGACATTTGTCTGACGTGTGTGGTGTATGTGTGACATCTGTCCGTCGATGGTGGTGTATGTGTGACATCTGTCCGTATGCCGTGGTGGTGTGAATGTGTGACATCTGTCTGACATGTGTGGTGTATGTGTGATGTGCATCATGTATACATGTTGTGTGTGTGACATTTCTGTGGTGTGTGTTGTATGTGTGACATCTAGTGTGACATGAATTGTGGTGACATCTGTGTGATGTGCGACATCATGTATGTTGTGTGTGTGTCATTTGTGTAAGTGTGTATGGTGTATGTGTGCCATGTGTGCGGCATATTGACATCTGACTGGTGTGGTGGGTTAATGACATCTGGACGCGGTGTGGTGTATGTGTGACATCTGTATTGACGGTGTGGTGTATGTGTGACATCTGTGTGACATGTGGCGTGGTGTGTAGATGATCTGATCATGTGGTGGTGTATGCGTGATTATCTGGTCGCGTGTGTGGTGTAATGTGTGACATCTGATGTGTGGTGTGTGACATCTGTCTGACGGTGTGGTGTATGTGTGACATCTGTGTGGACATGTGTGGTGTATGTGTGACATCTGACGAACTGTGGTGTATGCGTGACATCCGGATCGCCGGCATGTATGTGTGACATCTGTCAGCGACGTGGTATATGTGACGCCCGTCTGAACGGACGGTGGTGTATGTGCGACATCTGACGCGTGTGGTGTATGTGTGACATCTGTCTGCGTGTGGTGGTGTATGTGTGACATCTGGACGGTGTGGTGGAAGCGGCCGACATGGGTCGCGGTGTGGTGTATGTGTGACATCTGTCTGATCGGGTGTGGTATGTGTGACATCCTGACGGTGGTGTATGTGTGACATCTGGACGGTGTGGTGTATGTGTGACATCTGTCGGACGCAGGCGTGGTGTGGCGGTGGACATCTGGACGCCACCGTTGTGTATGTGTGGACATCTGTCTGAGGTGGTGTGTGTATGTGACATCTGTCGACATGTGTGGTGTGGCGGTGTGACATCTGTGTGATGCACGTGGTGTTGTATGTGCGACATCTGTCTGACGAGGTGGTGTATGTGTGACATCTGACTTGTGTGGTGGTGTATGTGTGACATCTGTCTGACATGTGTGGTGTATCGTGTGACATCTGTCTGACGCGGTGGTGTGGCGGTATGACACCGACGGTGTGGTGGCGTTAGTGACATCTGTCCGATCGTGGTAGTGGTGCATGTGTGACATCGGACATATATGGTGTATGTGTGACATCACATCTGACGTGTTGATGCTGTATGTGACATCCATCTGGACCATTAGTGGTGTATGTGTGACATCCTTTTAACGGTGTGGTGTATGTGTGACATCTGTCCGGACGTGTGTGGTGTACATGTGACATGTGTCTGACATGTGGTGTATGTGTGACATCTGTGTGATGTGTGTAGTATGTGTGACATCTGTGTGACGTGTGTGTCAGTATGTGTGACATCTGTCCGATCGAGTGTGGTGTATATTGTGATATCTGAGTGATGTGTGTGGTGTATGTGTGCGTCATCTGTGTGAGGTGTGTAGTGTATGGTGTGACATCTGTCCGATATGTGTGGTGTATGTGTGACATACATCTGTGTGATGTGTGGTGAATGCGGACATCTGTGCGCCATGTGTGAATGTGACATCTGTGCGATGTGTTGTGGCGTGTGACATCTGTCCGACGCGGTGGTGTATGTGTTACATCTGTGTGATTGTGACATTGGTGTATATTAATGACATCCGTGTGATGTATTGTGGTGTATGTGTGACATCCGTCGGCGATTATTGTGTGGTGTATATGTGACATCCGTCTGGATTATTAGTGACGTATGTGTGACATCTGTGTGATGTGTGTGGTGTATGTGATCTAATCGACATGTGTGTTAACGTGTGACATCTGTCTGACATGTGTGGTGTATATTAATGACACCGTCCTGACATGTGTATGTGTGATGTGTGTATCAAGCGCACAAAATTATGTGACATTTGTGTGGTGTGTGTTGTACGTGACATCCGTGGTGTATGTGCAATGCGCGATCATGTATGTTGTGTGTGTGACATTTGTGTAGTGTGTTGCCGTGTGTGCCAGCGTGGTGCGCGTGCGACATCCGTCTGGCGATGTGGTGTGGCATGTGCGTGTGTGACGCGTGTGACCATGTGTGACCGTTATGATCCGTGCCGTAATGACATCTGGTCTGACATGTGTGTTGTACATGTGTGACATCTGTGTCATGTGTGCAGTGGTGTATGTGTGACATCACAATCTGCATGTGGTGACATCTGTGCGATCGTGTGTGGTGTATGTGACATCTGTCTGACACGGTGTGGTGTACAGACATCTGTCTGACGAGTGTGGTGTATGTGTGATCTGTGTGGACATGTGTGACATCTGCGATGTGTGGTGTATGTGTGTGACATCAGTCTGACGTGGGGTATGTGCGACATCCGTCCGACGCGTGGTGTATGTGTGACATCTGTGTGATGTACAGCGTGTATCGCGTGACATCTCAGGTCTGACATGTGTGTTGTATGTGCGGACATCTGTCTGACATGTGTGACATCCGGTGCATCTGTGTGTGCGGATGTGCATCATCCGTGTGATGTGTGACATCTGGTGTGGGTGTGGTGTATGCGACATCTGTCTGATCGGTATGGCATGCAAAGCGACTGGTGTATGTGTGTATTAATCTGATGTGTGGTGGTGTGTGACATCTGTGTGTGATGTGTATGTGCGATTGACATCTGTGTGGCGTGTGCGTGACATCCGTCTGACGTCTGTGTTGATTATGCGTGACATCTGTCCGGATGTGCGTGGTGTATGTGACATCTGACATGTGGTCGGCGTGCGACATCCGTCTGTCGTGGGTGTAGTGCGGTGTGTGACATCTGTCTGACATGTGTTGTATATGTGTGACATCTGTCTGACATGTATTGGTGTATGTGTGACATCTGTCTGACACGTGCGTGGTGTATGTGTGATGTGTGTATCATGCATGTTCATTACATCAATGATATGACGTTGGTATGTGTTGTAATGTGACATGTTGGCGTGTATGACGCATCGTGTATCATGTATGTTGTGTGTGTGACATTTGTGTAGTGTGTGTGGTTGTGACATGTGCGCCATGTGTGATTGTATGTGTGACATCTGGTCTGATCGTGGTATTGTGGTGACATCTGTCTGACATGCTGTGTGGTGTTGTGACATCTGTGTGATGTGTGTGTGTATGCGACATCTGTCTGACATGTGTGTATGACATCATATTAGTGACATGGTGTATGTGCGACATCTGTGTTCTGATGGTGTACAACATGTGACATCCTGTATGATTGTGGTGTATGTGTGACATCTGTCTGACGAGTGTGGCAGTGTGACATCTGTCTGGATGTGGTATTGGTGTATGTGTGACATCTGTGTGACGTTATTGGTGTATGTGCGTGACATCCGTGTGAGTGGTGTGTGGTGTATGTGACATAGTCTGACGTGGTGGTGTATGTGTGACATCTGTCTGACGTGTGGTGTGGTGTGACATCTGTGTGATGTGTGTGGTGTATGTGTGACATCTGTGTGATGTGCTTGTGTGTGGTGTATGTGGTGACATCTGTCTGACGCGGTGTGGTGTATGTGTGACATCTGTCTGACGTGTGTGGTGTATGTGTGACATCTGTCTGACGTGTGTGGTGTATGTGTGACATCTGTGTGATGTGTGGTGTATGTGTGACATCTGTCTGACATGTGTGGTGTATGTGTGACATCTGTCTGACGTGTGTGGTGTATGTGTGACATCTGTCTGACGTGTGTGTTGTATGTGTGACATCTGTGTGATGTGTGTGGTGTATGTGTGACATCTGTCTGACATGTGTGTTGTATGTGTGACATCTGTCTGACGTGTGTGGTGTATGTGTTACATCTGTGTGATGTGTGTGGTGTATGTGTGACATCTGTCTGACGTGTGTGGTTTATGTGTGACATCTGTCTGACGTGTGTGTTGTATGTGTGACATCTGTGTGATGTGTGTGGTGTATGTGTGACATCTGTCTGACGATGTGTGGTGTATGTGTGACATCTGTCTGACGTGTGTGGTGTATGTGTGACATCTGTCTGACGTGTGTGGTGTATGTGTGACATCTGTCTGACGTGTGTAGTGTATGTGTGATGTGTGTATCATATGTGGTGTATGTGTGACGTGTGTGACAAGGTTTGCTTAGATAGTTGTGTACGGCAATATCTGATGTGTGTGATGTGTGTATGATGTGTGTGTGATGTATGTCTGAGTTATTACATGTGTGATGTGCTTGTGTGTTTGAACCCAAGACGTGTATATTTGATATGTTTCTTTCTGACGTCTCTAACCTTGACCCCTGAATACAAGCGTTCATCTCTTTGACAGCCATCGTCAGGGCAGGTCCTGCCGTCATCCTCACTGCAAGTTCCAGCTCCGCCCTGCAACACACAGTACCTTGTACATGACACACAAGTGAGATTGGTACAGACTCACGACACACAACACTTGGTAACAACATACAGACTGGTACAGACCCACGACACACAACACATGGTAACAACATACAGATCGGTACAGATTCACGACACACAACACTTGGTAACAACATACAGATTGGTACAGACTCACGACACACAACACTTGGTAACAACATACAGATCGGTACAGATTTACGACACACAACACTTGGTAACAACATACAGATTGGTACAGACTCATGACACACAACACTTGGTAACAACATACAGACTGGTACAGACTCACGACACACAACACTTGGTGACAACATACAGATTGGTACAGACTCACAACACACAACACTTGGTAACAACATACAGATTGGTACAGACCCAAGACACACAACACTTGGTAACAACATACAGATTGGTACACACTCACAACACACAACACTTGGTAACAACATACAGATTGGTACAGACCCAAGACACACAACACTTGGTAACAACATACAGATTGGTACACACTCACAACACACAACACTTGGTAACAACATACAGACTGGTACAGACTCATGACACACAACACTTGGTAACAACATGCAGATTGGTACAGACCCACGACACAACACTTGGTAACAACATACAGATTGGTACAGACTCACGACACACAACACTTGGTAACAACATACAGATCGGTACAGACTCAAGACACACAACACTTGGTAACAACAAACAGATTGGTACAGACTCATGACACACAACACTTGGTGACAACATACAGATTGGTACAGACTCATGACACACAACACTTGGTAACAACATACAGATTGGTACAGACTTATGACATACAACACTCGGTAACAACATACAGATTGGTACAGATTCACGACACACAACACTTGGTAACAATGTAGAGATTGGTACAGACTCACGACATACAACACTCGGTAACAACATACAGATTGGTACAGATTCACGACACACAACACTTGGTAACAATGTACAGATTGGTACAGACTCACGACATACAACACTCGGTAACAACATACAGATTGGTACAGATTCACGACACACAACACTTGGTAACAACTTACAGACTGGTACAGACTCATGACACACAACACTTGGTAACAACATACAGATTGGTACAGACTCAAGACACACAACACTTGGTAACAACATACAGATTGGTACAGACTCATGACACACAACATACAGATTGGTAACAACATACAGATTGTAACAATGTACAGACTGGTACAGACACACATACAACACTTCGGTAACAACATACAGATTGGTACAGATTCACGACACACAACACTTGGTAACAACGTACAGATTGGTACAGACTCAAGACACACAACACATGGTAACAACATACAGATTGGTACAGACTCGAACACAACACTTGGTAACAACACAGACTGGTACAGACTCATGACACACAAGATTGGTAACAGACTACAGATTGGTACAGACACACAACACTTGGTAACAATGTACAGATTGGTACAGACTCATGACACACAACACTTGGTAACAACATACAGATTGGTACAGACTCAAGACACACAACACTTGGTAACAACATACAGATTGGTACAGACTCACAACACACAACACTTGGTAACAATGTACAGATTGGTAGAGACTGACGACACACAACACTTGTTAACAATGTACACAACCGTACAGACTCACAACACAAAACACATGGTAACAATGTACAAAACGGCATAGAACAGAGTTACTCACTGATGCTGTCCACAGAAGGCGTGATACATGATCCTGGTAGCGTTTCTCTCTATCATGGACTGCACTGATAGTAGCTTGTCTGGAACATGAAGGCCGTGAGCCTGTGGACATACAAACATCTACATGTCATGTTTCAAACCAACCGGCAACTGATGTACTTATACTAGCATCCAACTACAGACTCATCACACAACACAACACAGCCAAATCACAGACAGCCAAACAGACATACAGATGCACAGACATACAGATACACAACCAAACAGACATACAGATACACAGACATACAGATATACAGACAAACAGATACACATCCAAACAGACATACAAATACACAGACACACAGATACACATCCAAACAGACATACAGATACACAGACATACAGATACACAACCAAACAGACATACAGATACACAGACATACAGATACAAACCAAACAGACATACAGATACAGACATACAGATACACAGCCAAACAGACATAGAGTTACACAGACATACAGATAAACAGACATACAGATACACAACCATACAGATACAACCAAACAGACATACAGATACACAGACATACACAAACAGACATACACAGCCAAACAGACAAACAGACATACAGATACAGACATCCAAACAGACATACATACACAGCCAAACATACATACAGATACACATACATACACAGACAAGACATAGATACACAGACATACAGATACACAACCAAAACACACATACAGATACACAGACATACAGATACACAAGCCAAACAGACATACAGATATACAAACATACAGATACAGACACACACACAGACATAGACATACAGACATACAGACAAACAGACATACAGATACACACACATACAGGAACAGACATACAGATACACAGAAGACACATACGGATACACATACATACACATACAGACAGACATAGAGATACACATACATACATAGATACACAGACATACAGATACACAGACATATAGATACAGATACACAGACATACACAGACATAGATACACAGACACACAGACATAGACATACACAGACAAACACAGGACATACACGACACACAGACACACACACACAGACATACACACATACAGACAGACATACAGACATACAAACAAACAGACATACAGATACACATACACAGACAGATAAACAGACATACAGATACACAGATAAACAGACATACAGATACACAGACAAACATACACAAACACAGATACAGATACACAGACAAACAGACATACAGATACACACACATACAGATACACAGACATACAGACATACAAATAAACAGACATACAGATATAGACACACAGATACACAGGCAGATATACAGACATACAGACATGCAGATACACAGACAAACATACATACTCATACACAGACATACATAGATATACAGACATGCAGATACACAGACAGACATAGAGAAACACACACATACATATACACAGATACACAGACATACAGACATACATACAGACACAGAGACATACAGATACACAGACAAACAGATACACAAACACACATACAGATACACAGACAGACATACAGATACACAGACAAACAGATACACAAACACACATACAGATACACAGACAAACAGACATACAGATACACAGACAAACAGACATAGAGAAACACAGACAAACAGACATACATACAGACACAGAGACATACAGATACACAGACAAACAGATACACAAACACACATACAGATACACAGACAAACAGACATACAGATACACAGACAAACAGACATACAAATACACAGACATACAGACATGCAGATACACAGACATATATACATACAGATACAGACATACAGATACACAGCCAAACGTACATAGAGATACACAGACATAGATACACAGACAGACATACAGACATACATAGACACACACACATACAGATACACAGAAAAACAGACATACAAATACACAGACATACAGAAATACAGATACACAGCCAAACAGACACACAGACATACATACATACAGACATACAGATACGCAGCCAAACAGACATAGAGATACACCAACATACATACATACAGATACACAGACAAACAGACATAGAGATACACAGACAAACATACATACAGATACACAGACAAACAGACATAGCGATACACAGACATACAAACAGACATACAGATACACAGCCAAACAGACATAGAGATACACAGACATACAGATACACAGATACCCAGCCAAACAGACACAGAGATACACAGACATACATACAGACATACAGATACACAGACAAACAGACAAGCAGATACATAGACATACTGATACACAGACATACATACATGCAGATACAGACATGCAGATACACAGCCAAACAGACATAGATACACAGACATACAGATACACAGACAGACAGACACACAGACATACAAATACACAGACATACAAATACACAGATACACAACCAAACAGACATACAGATACACAGACATACAGACATACCTACATACATACAAACACACATGCAGATACACAGACATACAGATATACAGATACACAGCCAGACATAGAGCTACAGAGACATACAGAGACACAGTCAGACATACAGATACACATACATACAGATACACAGACAGACATACAGATACACAGACAAACAGACATACAAATACACAGACATACTGATATAGACATGCAGACACACAGACATACATACATACAGACACAGACATACAGATACACAGCCAAACATACATAGATACAAAGGCATACAGATACACAGACAGGCATACAGATATACATAGAGACACACATACACATACAGATACACAGAAAACAGACATACAAATAAACAGCATACAGACATACAGACACACAGACATACAGATATAAAGACAAACAGACATACAGATAGACACAAAAAGGTACCAATACAATCATGCAAACATTCATTTTGATAGAGACAAGAGACAAAAACATACACGAAGGCGTACAAACAGACACATAGATACACAGACAGACACAAACAGAAGTACAGACATGCATGCAACCAACAAACAGATACATGTCCGAGTCAGACAACAGACAGACAGACAGACAGACGGTTAGGATGACAGAAAGCTGTGCAGAAGTACACACAGGGGCATGTATTGCTGAAAATAATATGTCCTGGGTCCTACAAGCGTACACTCATATCCATATACATATAAAGAAGGACCCTATGTATATGGATATCAGTGTACGCTTGTAGGACCCAGGACGTATTATTTTCAGCAATACAAGCCCCTGTGGAAGTACACACAGGGAGGCAAACAAGCAGAGACACTGACACATGTACCAAGTGAGACAGACAGACAGACAGATAGACAGACACTTAGGAAGACAGAAAGATTTGTAGAAGTACACACAGGGAGGCATACAAGCAGAGACACTGACACATGTACCAAGTGAGACAGACAGACAGACAGATAGACAGACGCTTAGGAAGACAGAAAGATTTGTAGAAGTACACACAGGGAGGCATACAAGCAGGGACACTGACACATGTACCAAGTGAGACAGACAGACAGACAGATAGACATACATTTAGGAAGACAGAAAGATTTGTAGAAGTACACACAGGGAGCCATACAAGCAGAGACACTGACACATGTACCAAGTGAGAAAGGGAGACAGACAGGTGAATAGAAACAGTGTCACCTGTCTTGCAATCATATCATCTCGGACGTCTATAAAGTTCAGTTTGTGTCCTGATGTGCTGGAGTCTACACCTGAAAGTTAACATTGAAGGTGAATACACCAATACACCCCAGGTGAAAACACCAAAACATTCCAGGTGAATACACCAATACACTCCAGGAGAATACACCAATACACCATAGGTGAATACACCTCTACATCTCAGGTGAATACACCAATACACTTCAGGTGGATACATCAATATACTCCAGGTGAATACACCAATACACTCCAGGAGAATACACCAATACACCATAGGTGAATACATCTCTACATCTCAGATGAATACACCAATACTCTCCAGGTGGATACATCAATATACTCCAGGTGAATACACCAATACACTCCAGGAGAATACACCAATACACCCCAGGTGAATACACCTCTACATCTCAGGTGAATACACCAATACACTTCAGGTGAATACACCTCTACATCTCATGTGAATACACCAATACACTCCAGGTGAATACACCAATACACTCCAGGTGAATACACCTCTACATCTCAGGTGAATACACCAATACACTCCAGGTAAATACACCAATACACTCCAGGAGAATACACCAATACACCCCAGGTGAATACACCTCTACATCTCAGGTGAATACACCAATACACTTCAGAATACACCAATACACTTCAGGTGAATACACCTCTACATCTCATGTGAATACACCAATACACTCCAGGTGAATACACCAATACACTCCAGGAGAATACACCAATACACCCCAGGTGAATACACCTCTACATCTCAGGTGAATACACCAATACACTTCAGGTGAATACACCTCTACATCTCATGTGAATACACCAATACACTCCAGGTGAATACACCAATACACTCCAGGTGAATACACCTCTACATCTCAGGTGAATACACCAATACACTCCAGGTAAATACACCAATACTCTCCAGGTGAATACACCAATACACTCCAGGAGAATACACCAATACACCCCAGGTGAATACACCTCTACATCTCAGGTGAATACACCAATACACTTCAGGTGAATACACCTCTACATCTCATGTGAATACACCAATACACTCCAGGTGAATACACCAATACACTCCAGGTGAATACACCTCTACATCTCAGGTGAATACACCAATACACTCCAGGTAAATACACCAATACACTCCAGGTGAATACACCTCTACATCTCAGGTGAATACACCAATACACTCCAGGAGAATACACCAATACACTCCAGGTGAATACACCTCTACATCTCAGGAGAATACACCAATACACCCCAGGTGAATACACCTCTACATCTCAGGTGAATACACCAATACACTTCAGGCGAATACACCTCTACATCTCAGGTGAGTACACCAATACACTCCCGGTAAATACACCAATATACTCCAGTTAAATACACCAATAAACTCAAGGTGAAAACACCAATACACCCCAGCTGAATACACCTGTACACTCCAGGTGAATACACCTATACACTCCAGGTGAATACACCTGTACATCTCAGGTGAATACACCAATACACTCCAGGTGAATACACCAATACACATCTGGTGAATACACCAATACACTCCAGGTGAATACACCTATAAATCTCAGGTGAATACACCAATATTCTCCAGGTGAATACACCAATACACTTCAGGTGAATACACCAATACGCTCCAGGTGAATAAACCAATGACCCTAGGTCAATACACCAATAACCCTAGGTGAATACACCAATACACTCCAGGTGAATACACCAATACATCCCAGGTGAATACATCAATATACTCCTGGTGAATACACCTATACATCTCAGGTGAATACACCAATACACTCCAGGTGAATACATCAATGCAACCTACGTGAATACATCTATACACCCCAGGTTAATACAGCAATAACCCTAGGTGAATACAGCAATAACCCCAGGTGAATACACCAATACATCCCAGGTGAATACACCAATACGCTCGAGGTGAATACACCAATACATCCCAGGTGGATACACCTATACACCCCAGGTGAATACACCTATAGATCTCAGGTAAATACACCAATACACTCCAGGTGAATACACCAATGCACCCTAGGTGAATACACCAATACACCCCAGGTGAATACAGCAATAACTCTATGTGAATACAGCAATAACCCTAGGTGAATACACCAATAGATCCCAGGTGAATACACCAATACACTCAAGGTGAATACACCAATACACTCCAGGTGAATACACCAATACATCCCAGGTGAATACACCTATACACCCCAGGTGAAAACACCTATACATCCCAGGTGAATACATCAATACATCCCAGGTGAATACACCAATACACTCCAGGTGAATACACCTATACATCCCAGGTGAATACACCTATACACTCCAGGTGAATACACCTATACATCCCAGGTGAATGCACCATTACACTCCAGGTGAATACATCTATACATCTCAAGTGAATACACCAATACATCCCAGGTAAATACACTAGTACACTCGAGGTGAATACACCTATACATCCCAGGTGAATACACCAATACAGTCCAGGTGAATACACCTATACATCCCAGGTGGATACACCTATACACCCCAGGTGAATACACCTATAGATCTCAGGTAAATACACCAATACACTCCAGGTGAATACACCAATGCACCCTAGGTGAATACACCAATACACCCCAGGTGAATACAGCAATAACTCTATGTGAATACAGCAATAACCCCAGGTGAATACACCAATAGATCCCAGGTGAATACACCAATACACTCAAGGTGAATACACCAATACACTCCAGGTGAATACACCAATACATCCCAGGTGAATACACCTATACACCCCAGGTGAAAACACCTATACATCCCAGGTGAATACATCAATACATCCCAGGTGAATACACCAATACACTCCAGGTGAATACACCTATACATCCCAGGTGAATACACCTATACACTCCAGGTGAATACACCTATACATCCCAGGTGAATGCACCATTACACTCCAGGTGAATACATCTATACATCTCAAGTGAATACACCAATACATCCCAGGTAAATACACTAGTACACTCGAGGTGAATACACCTATACATCCCAGGTGAATACACCAATACAGTCCAGGTGAATACACCTATACATCCCAGGTGAATACACATATACATCCCAGGTGAATACACCAATACACTCCAGGTGAATACACCTATACATCCCAGGTGAATACACCTATACATCCCAGGTGAATACACCAATACATCCCAGGTGAATACACCTATACATCCCAGGTGAATACACCTATACATCCCATGGTGAATACACCAATACATCCATGGTGAATACACCAATACATCCCAGGTGAATACACCTATACATCCCCCCAGGTGAATACACCATTGCATGTGTATGTGTGGCTCTTTATACTAGCCTCTTACCCCTCCCACATGGAGGTCATTTCTGATTGTGAGACAAGGAGACTGTAATACAGTATAGCATAAGCCAAGTTCTATCACAACCTCTCCAAGTTTTAGATTGTCTCACCAAACAAAAATCAGGTTGGATAGTCTTACAAAAGTCAGGATTCATGGAGTCCTACACAAACCAAGTCTCATACAGTCTCACCTAGAATTGTTTCGAGATGTAGTCGGTCCTGTTGTATGCCGGAGATGTTGTCAAAATGGATCATGGCAGCACGATTAATGTCACGGACGAGGGTGCAGATGTGAGGGTTAGGGAGGAGGACCTCATTCTTTTGTGGGGAGATACTGATGCTGGCACTCCCTGAAACACAATGTCACTCGGTTAGGCAGATGTGAGGGTCAGGAAGGAGGACCTCATTCTTCTGTGGGGAGATACTGATGCTGGCACTCCCTGAAACACAATGTCACTCAGTTAGGCAGATACAATGTCAGTCAGTTAGGCAGATACAACGTCAGTCAGTTAGGCAGATGTGAGGGTTAGGAAGGAGGACCTCATTCTTCTGTGGGGAGATACTGATGCTGGCACTCCCTGAAACACAATGTCACTCAGTTAGGCAGATACAATGTCACTCAGTTAGACAGATGTGAGGGTCAGGAAGGAGGACCTCATTCTTCTGTGGGGAGATACTGATGCTGGCACTCCCTGAAACACAATGTAACTCAGTTAGGCAGATACAATGTCACTCAGTTAGGCAGATACAATGTCACTCAGTTAGGTAGATGTGAGGGTCAGGAAGGAGGACCTCATTCTTCTGTGGGGAGATACTGATGCTGGCACTCCCTGAAACACAATGTCAGTCAGTTAGGCAGATACAATGTCACTCAGTTAGGCAGGTGCGAGGGTCAGGAAGGAGGATCTCATTCTTCTGTGGGGAGATACTGATGCTGGCTTTCCCTGAAACACAATGTCACTCAGTTAGGCAGATGTGAGGGTCAGGAAGGAGGACCTCATTCTTCTGTGGGGAGATACTGATGCTGGCTTTCCCTGAAACACAATGTCAGTCAGTTAGGCAGATGTGAGGGTCAGGAAGGAGGACCTCATTCTTCTGTGGGGAGATACTGATGCTGGCTTTCCCTGAAACACAATGTCAGTCAGTTAGGCAGATGTGAGGGTCAGGAAGGAGGACCTCATTCTTTTGTGGGGAGATACTGATGCTGGCACTCCCTGAAACACAATGTCACTCGGTTAGGCAGATACAATGTCAGTCAGTTAGGCAGATACAATGTCAGTCAGTTAGGCAGATACAATGTCAGTCAGTTAGGCAGATACAATGTCACTCGGTTAGGCAGATGTGAGGGTCAGGAAGGAGGACCTCATTCTTCTGTGGGGAGATACTGATGCTGGCACTCCCTGAAACACAATGTCACTCAGTTAGGCAGATGTCAGGGTCAGGAAGAGGACCTCATTCTTCTGTTAGGAGATACTGATGCTGGTTAGGAAGGAGGACCTCATTCTTCTGTGGGAGATACTGATGCTGGCACTCCCTGAAAGATACAATGTCACTCAGTTAGGCAGATACAATGTCACTCAGTTAGACAGATGTGAGGGTTAGGAAGGAGGACCTCATTCTTCTGTGGGGAGATACTGATGCTGGCACTCCCTGAAACACAATGTCACTCAGTTAGGCAGATACAATGTCACTCAGTTAGGCCGATGTGAGGGTCAGGAAGGAGGACCTCATTCTTCTGTGGGGAGATACTGATGCTGGCACTCCCTGAAACACAATGTCACTCAGTTAGGCACATACAATGTCAGTCAGTTAGGCAGATACAATGTCACTCAGTTAGGTAGATGTGAGGGTCAGGAAGGAGGATCTCATTCTTCTGTGGGGAGATACTGATGCTGGCACTCCCTGAAACACAATGTCACTCAGTTAGGCAGATACAATGTCAGTCAGTTAGGCAGATACAATGTCACTCAGTTAGGTAGATGTGAGGGTCAGGAAGGAGGATCTCATTCTTCTGTGGGGAGATACTGATGCTGGCACTCCCTGAAACACAATGTCACTCAGTTAGGCAGATACAATGTCAGTCAGTTAGGCAGATACAATGTCACTCAGTTAGGTAGATGTGAGGGTCAGGAAGGAGGATCTCATTCTTCTGTGGGGAGATACTGATGCTTGCACTCCCTGAAACACAATGTCACTCAGTTAGGCAGATACAATGTCACTCAGTTAGGCAGATGTGAGGGTCAGGAAGGAGGACCTCATTCTTCTGTGGGGAGATACTGATGCTGGCACTCCCTGAAACACAATGTCACTCAGTTAGGCAGATACAATGTCAGTCAGTTAGGCAGATGTGAGGGTCAGGAAGGAGGACCTCATTCTTCTGTGGGGAGATACTGATGCTGGTTTTCCCTGAAACACAATGTCAGTCAGTTAGGCAGATGTGAGGGTCAGGAAGGAGGACCTCATTCTTCTGTGGGGAGATACTGATGCTGGTTTTCCCTGAAACACAATGTCAGTCAGTTAGCCAGATGTGAGGGTCAGGAAGGAGGACCTCATTCTTCTGTGGGGAGATACTGATGCTGGCACTCCCTGAAACACAATGTCACTCATTTAGGCAGATACAATGTCACTCAGTTAGGCAAATACTGGGGAGATTCAATAGCAGAGTAAATCAGCCAAGGTCAGAGATATAATCAGCGAGTCTTGCAGTCAGAAACAGAGATCTGGAACCTCACCTGAGTTATTGAGTTCATCTGCGCCAAATATACCAGCTAGTACACACCGAGCAGAGGCAATTGTGCGATTTATGTTGGTTGACCTGGCACTGAAACACAACATCTTCTCATCAGTCACAAGTCTCCACATCTTCAACGGATCCGTGAAGATCAAGGTTAGAATTGGTCTTCATCAACCCACGTAAGTTATAAAAGGCAACTAGTGGGATTGGATAGTCATCCCAATTGTGTAGATCAATGCTCATTCTGTTGATCACTGGGTTGCCTGATCAAGATTGTAATACTTACAGACCACTGCCATATAGCTGGAATATCGCTGAGAGCCACTTTAAACAACAAACAAACAAAACATCTTCAACATCAGATCCATGAATTAAGGGAGAATCGATTAGAAGAAGATAAAAAGAATAACATTGACAAAAAGAACCTAATTGTTCAGTCCCACTATTGCCAAAGAAGCGCCCCCTGTCTGACGTACTCTTTTACCGGAGCCACTGACCCAACTCACCACACACATGGTACTTACTACACGTGTTCCTTCTTGAAGGTCGGATCAAGCAGCGCCCACTGTCTGACGTACTCTGACCGTAGCCGCTGACCCAACTCAAACATCTGCTGCTGGCCAAGTGTCGTCAAACTACCAGAAACACATCCACCCTGAAGTAAACAACATACACCCTGAAGTAAACAACATCCACCCCAAATAAACATCCCCAACAAGTAAACAACATCCACCCTAAACAAGCTACATTACCTCTAGCCTGAAGTAATCAACAGCCACTTTAAAATATTATTTTAATTTGATGCTTTACTCGAACCTCTGTCACACCCTGCACATGTCACAATACACAATTAACGCCATAAATCTTTATTGCAGGTATCATGACCAACCAATCCATGGACTTAGAAATACAGTATATTATACCTTACATAAACAACGAATATGCAATGATTTTGACAAAGTTGCCCTTAAGACTAAATTATATTAGCTCTGATACCTTGCAAAGAGGTGACTTGCAAGATGTGTTGCAAGGGAGATAACTCATATAGCTCATGTGCTGGGTGATTCCAGTTTACTTAAACCTCTGGACATCACTCCTAGCACATATTGTGGCCAAGTTATGTTTTAATCATTATTAGTTTGATAGTATATAATCACATTACACAATTTATGCCATGATACTGAGAGAAAATACCTTGCTAAAAGACGACTTGCAACACACAAGAGATGTGTCGCAAGGGAGATAACTCATATAGCTCATGTGCTGGGTGACTCCAGTTTTTCACTGCACAAGACACTGGTCACATGACTGAGAAACTGGTGTTCACAAGCCGCATACACATGACAGCCTTTGACGTGCAAGACCGGGATTACTTTCGAACATATTCCTGAGAACTTACAACCTGCTGAGACAAAAGGGACTTTGTTACCTAGGAAACCAAGGCCTGCTGAGACACAAGGGACTTTGTTACCTAGGAAACCAGGACCTGCTGAGACACCAGAGACTTTGTTACCTAGGAAACCAGGACCTCCTGAGACACAAGGGACTTTGTTACCTAGGAAACCAGGACCTGCTGAGACACAAGATACTTTGTTACCTAGGAAACCAGGACCTGCTGTGACACAAGAGACTTTGTTACCTAGGAAACCAGGACCTGCTGTGACACAAGAGACTTTGTTACCTAGGCAACCAGGACCTGCTGTGACACAAGATACTTTGTTACCTAGGAAACCAGGACCTGCTGAGACACAAGAGACTTTGTTACCTAGGCAACCAGGACCTGCTGAGACACAAGAGACTTTGTTACCTAGGCAACCAGGACCTGCTGAGACACAAGAGACTTAGTGGAATAGCACTCAGACACTTACCCGTAACACAGTTTTGCTGTAGTGCAATTCATAGAGAGATTTCTCTATTGTATCCCCAGCCAGGCTTTTCAGGGTGAGCTTGAAGTCTGTGTGAGGCAGGACTCGGTTGTGGATATCAGCTCGGTATGTCGCCTGGAACACATGATGTAACCCATAGACAGAACTCACTTGTTCTATGTTGGGGTGAGGTCTATGGGTGTGTGTGTACAGAACTCACCTGTTCTATGTTGGGGTGAGGTGTATGGGTGTGTGTGTACAGAACTCACCTATTCTATGTTGGGGTGAGGTGTATGGGTGTGTGTGTACAGAACTCACCTGTTCTATGTTGGGGTGAGGTGTATAGGGGTCTGTGTACAGAACTCACCTGTTCTATGTTGGGGGTGAGGTGTATGGGGGTCCGCGCACCATGTCTGAAGAACACCTGAACCTGTTGAAGCGTCAGACCTCTCCTTGAAATTTCCTCAGAATCCCCCGATCCATGTGGCGATCTGTCGATTTTATCAATGACCCCATCCGTGAGACAGGTGCGCGCTACGCATCCCCCGCACACTACAACCGCCCCCAGGTACCCGGTCACACGTCTCAATCTCCACCACCCCATCATACAGTACACTGTCGTCACTAATGATGCTGTGTTAGATCAGTAGTGTGCCACATCCGCCAGCCTGTAGCTACATCACCAGTTGTCTCCCCTTGTATGACATTGCCTTTCCGGGGAATTCCCATCTTGGTGGTCATGTGGTCAGCTATTTTTAGACGCACTCGCCACTAAACTTGTACTTGTATCAGGGCCGCAGATAGCCCGGAATTTTTTTACAGATAATTTTGGGTACATCAAAGTGTTGATTGAGGGCAGTCCAGCTGACAGATGATCGGTACCAGAATGATCCACCTAATTACACATGAGTACAACAACCATTAACAAATAGAGTAAGGAATCCAGGGCAATGATCTAGACTACCAGGAACTCTATAAACTGAAGGCATATTGTGCAATACCTAATGATAAATAACGAAGAAAAGACTTAATTAGAAAAGGGATATTCAGTCCACATGACGACAAAATATTGAACAAACCTGCAGATATTATAAATATGATATACGTTTCAAGTGCAGTTCCTGTACTGTCAACTTAATTCAATAATATATATATATATAACTATTGTGTATTAATACTTAAACTGAACGAAACTGTTGTTGTTTTGCATACATATACAGATATGTCCAAACATATTCACAAAGTTTAGTTAAGAACATTATGTACAGATGCTGCAATTTAAAACAAAGAAACTTTTTTTTTAAAAAAACATGAAAACATTTGAAAAACATGAAAAAAATAATATTTCATACAAAATTGGAGATTACATAAATAGAGTCATTTACCTTCAGCAGGAAATTGTACCTGAGAGCATATATTTTTGAAAGAATCACAGGGGAGCATGCCACAAACCCGCCTAGATCCTCGGCTCTTTGAGCCTCGATCGTGGATAGTGCCCCCCTATTAGGAAAAGTTAGCTACGGTATATATGCTCACTGACCCAAGTACTGTGATGTTGACCACAGACCAAGAGTGATGACAGTTTACTACTGGTTGTCACAGAGATATATGCATATCAGTTTATTTAGGATGACATTTCCCTCAGATCTACTTAGTGAAGGTCGATCAATCAATGTGTACGTATCTTTGTCAAACAATTGAGAGGGTGAGTTCGGTTTTATGTCATGTTGAGCTATATTACAGCAATATTCCACAAGGTGTGAATTTCCCACATCCTACCCTTGTGGAGAATCGAACCCGTACCTTTCCCTTTAAGCACCAGGGTGCCTTGTACAAAACACACATAGCGCTACGGCAGTCGTAAGTCTATGTTAAGATCTGGGAGTTAAGATCTGGGAGTTAAGATCTGGGAGTTAAGATCTGGGAGTTAAGATCTGGGAGTTAAGATCTGGGAGTTAAGATCACCTTCGGGCTAAGACGGCTTTGTACTTCACGGTGGTAAGTCTGTCTCCCGGCACTGTAACACACGTCTGTGAGAGAGTGACGGTACTTCACGGTGGTAAGTCTGTCTCCCGGCACTGTAACACACGTCTGTGAGAGAGTGACGGTACTTCACGATGGTAAGTCTGTCTCCCGGCACTGTAACACACGTCTGTGAGAGTGACGGTACTTCACGATGGTAAGTCTGTCTCCCGGCCGGCACTGTAACACACGTCTGTGAGAGAGTGACGGTACTTCACGATGGTAAGTCTGTCTCCCGGCACTGTAACACACGTCTGTGAGAGAGTGACGGTACTTCACGATGGTAAGTCTGTCTCCCGGCACTGTAACACACGTCTGTGAGAGAGTGACGGTACTTCACGATGGTAAGTCTGTCTCCCGGCACTGTAACACACGTCTGTGAGAGAGTGACGGTACTTCACGATGGTAAGTCTGTCTCCCGGCACTGTAACACACGTCTGTAAGAGTGACGGTACTTCACGATGGTAAGTCTGTCTCACGGCACTGTAACACACGTCTGTAAGAGTGACGGTACTTCACGATGGTAAGTCTGTCTCCCGGCACTGTAACACACGTCTGTGAGAGAGTGACGGTACTTCACGATGGTAAGTCTGTCTCCCGGCACTGTAACACACGTCTGTGAGAGAGTGACGGTACTTCACGATGGTAAGTCTGTCTCCCGGCACTGTAACACACGTCTGTGAGAGAGTGACGGTACTTCACGATGGTAAGTCTGTCTCCCGGCACTGTAACACACGTCTGTGAGAGAGTGACGGTACTTCACGATGGTAAGTCTGTCTCCGGCACTGTAACACACGTCTGTGAGAGAGAGTGACGGTACTTCACGATGTAAGTCTGTCTCCGGCACTGTAACACACGTCTGTAAGAGTGACGGTACTTCACGATGGTAAGTCTGTCTCCCGGCACTGTAACACACGTCTGTGAGAGAGTGACGGTACTTCACGATGGTAAGTCTGTCTCCCGGCACTGTAACACACGTCTGTGAGAGAGTGACGGTACTTCACGATGGTAAGTCTGTCTCCCGGCACTGTAACACACGTCTGTGACTGTAACACACGAGTGAGTGACGGTGACGGTACTTAACACACGTCTGTGAGAGAGTGACGGTACGATGGTAAGTCTGTCTCCCGGCACTGTAACACACGTCTGTGAGTAACACACGTCTGTGAGAGAGTGACGGTACTTCACGATGGTAAGTCTGTCTCCCGGCACTGTAACACACGTCTGTGAGAGAGTGACGGTACTTCACGATGGTAAGTCTGTCTCCCGGCACTGTAGAACACACGTCTGTCTCCCGGACTGTAACAGTCTGTGACGGTACGGTTCACGATGGTAAGTCTGTCTCCGGCACTGTAACACACGTCTGTGAGAGTGACGGTACTTCACGATGGTAAGTCTGTCTCCCGGCACTGTAACACACGTCTGTGAGAGAGTGACGGGTACTTCACGATGGTAAGTCTGTCTCCCGGCAGTCTGTAACACACGTCTGTCTGAGAGTGACGGTACTTCACGATGGTAAGTCTGTCTCCCGGCACTGTAACACACGTCTGTGAGAGAGTGACGGTACTTCACGATGGTAAGTCTGTCTCACGGCACTGTAACACACGTCTGTAAGAGTGACGGTACTTCACGATGGTAAGTCTGTCTCCCGGCACTGTAACACACGTCTGTGAGAGAGTGACGGTACTTCACGATGGTAAGTCTGTCTCCCGGCACTGTAACACACGTCTGTGAGAGAGTGACGGTACTTCACGATGGTAAGTCTGTCTCCCGGCACTGTAACACACACGTCTGTGAGAGAGTGACGGTACTTCACGATGGTAAGTCTGTCTCACGGCACTGTAACACACGTCTGTAAGAGTGACGGTACTTCACGATGGTAAGTCTGTCTCACGGCACTGTAACACACGTCTGTAAGAGTGACGGTACTTCACGATGGTAAGTCTGTCTCCCGGCACTGTAACACACGTCTGTGAGAGAGTGACGGTACTTCACGATGGTAAGTCTGTCTCCCGGCACTGTAACACACGTCTGTGAGAGAGTGACGGTACTTCACGATGGTAAGTCTGTCTCCCGGCACTGTAACACACGTCTGTGAGAGAGTGACGGTACTTCACGATGGTAAGTCTGTCTCCCGGCACTGTAACACACGTCTGTAAGAGTGACGGTACTTCACGATGGTAAGTCTGTCTCCCGGCACTGTAACACACGTCTCTGTGAGAGTGACGGTACTTCACGATGGTAAGTCTGTCTCCGGCACTGTAACACGTCTCTGAACTGTACACGTCGTCTGTGAGTCTGAGGTGACGGTGACGGTACTTCGTCTCCCGGCACGTAACACACGTCTGTGAGAGTGAAGTCTGTCTGTCTCCCGGCACTGTAACACACGTCTGTGAGAGAGTGACGGTACTTCACGATGGTAAGTCTGTCTCCGGCACTGTAACACACGTCTGTGAGAGAGTGACGGTACTTCACGATGGTAAGTCTGTCTCCCGGCACTGTAAACACGTCTGTGAAGTGACGGTACTTCACGATGGTAAGTCTGTCTCCCGGCACTGTAACACGTCTGTGAGAGTGACGGTACTTCACGATGGTAAGTCTGTCTCCACGGCACTGTAACACACGTCTGTGAGAGAGTGACGGTACTTCACGATGGTAAGTCTGTCTCCCGGCACTGTAACACACGTCTGTGAGAGTGACGGTACTTCACGATGGTAAGTCTGTCTCCGGCACTGTAAACACGTCTGTGAGAGTGACGGTACTTCACGATGGTAAGTCTGTCTCCCGGCACTGTAACACACGTCTCTGTAAGAGTGACGGTACTTCACGATGGTAAGTCTGTCTCCCGGCACTGTAACACACGTCTCTGAAAGAGTGACGGTACTTCACGATGGTAAGTCTGTCTCACGGCACTGTAACACACGACTCTGTAAGAGTGACGGTACTTCACGATGGTAAGTCTGTCTCCCGGCACTGTAACACACGTCTGTGAGAGTGACGGTACTTCACGATGGTAAGTCTGTCTCCCGGGGCACTGTAACACACGTCTCTGTAAGAGTGACGGTACTTCACGATGGTAAGTCTGTCTCACGGCACTGTAACACACGTCTGTGAGAGAGTGACGGTACTTCACGATGGTAAGTCTGTCTCCCGGCACTGTAACACACGTCTCTGTGAGAGTGACGGTACTTCACGATGGTAAGTCTGTCTCACGGCACTGTAACACACGTCTCTGAAAGAGTGACGGTACTTCACGGTGGTAAGTCTGTCTCCTAGGGCACTGTAACACACGTCTCTGTAGGATAGACGGCACTTCACGGTGGTAAGTCTGTCACCTAGGGCACCAGATAGAGCAAGTCTGGATTGCATCTTCAGGACATGTAGGGGCAATGTTCCACGGTGTTTGTTCGGTAAACTGGGGCTGTGGGGTAGCCCAGTGGTTAAAGCGTTGGCTCGTCACGCCGAAGACCCGGGTTCGAATCCCCACATTGGTACAATGTGTGAAGCCCATTTCTGGTGTCTCCCGCCGTGATGTTGCTGGAATATTGCTAAAAGCGGCGTAAAACCAAAATTCAGTCAGTCAGTCAGTTGTTCGGTAAACTCGTCTGGAGAATGTCATGTATGCACAGTATCTTTTAGCCCTGAATTTGA